GTGGGAGTCCAGCGACATAGCCATTACGCTAACTGCTGGTCCCAAAGTTCCCTAGTTTCCTATCCAAAAATACTGAGACTTCATTTTGCCTTTGGCAGATTGAGCACAAAGGAAATGGTTTATGCCTCTGCAAACTCTTTCTCACTCACTCATTTGTTCTTTCAGCAATACAAAGGGTGGTTCGTTCAGCAATACCAGGTGGCCTTTGATCAGCAATGCTAATCAAGCATCATTCTTACAGAAATATTGACTCTGTGTCATGCCTTGTACTAGACACTGGGCATCTGCTGGGGTGTAAGCCTAACTTCAGAGGTTTACATTAGTCTAAAGGGAGTGAGAAGGAAACGCAGGCTCATGAACAGTCAATCCACATGCCAGGGTGCTGTCTTACAGGAAGTAGCAAGAGAGCATGTGAAGAGGAGCAAGACACAGCCTGTCTCTACAGGGACTTAAAGAAGTGACCTGCAAACTGCTTTATCCTCAGTACGACAGGGGGCCTTTAAAGGCTGTGATCGGTGGTAGGGCCTGATCTGATTTTTATTTTAGAAGGATCAATCTGGGGGCCAGCAGGTGGCATGGTAGTTAAGGGCACTAGAATCCCACATGGCTGACTACAGTCCAAGTCCTGGACCTGAGGGCTTCTATCTCATTTACCTTCTCTCTCTCTCTCTCTCTCTCTCTCTCTCTCTCTCTTGCTATGGCCCTCTCTGGTCAAATTAAAATAAATAAAAACAAATAAATAAAGTTAAATTAATTCTTTAAAAAATTAAAAAAGAAAGAAAGATCACTCTGGCTGTTGCACAGACATAGAGGGAGAGAGAGAGAGAGAGACAGGGAAGAGGGCTGGGAGAAAGGAAATCTAGGTAAGAGATGAAGGTGCCAGAACTAGTGCAGAGAGAGAAGAAAAGAGACGAGTTGGAGCCACAGTCAGAAGCTGAAGTACTGGGACTTGTTCAGTGGCTGGTTGTTGAGGTGAGAGAAGGAGAACTCAAAGATGATGCTCAGGAATAATAAAAGGTCCTCTTTTGTCAGTTGCTGCCTATCCATGCAGGGTAGAGATGACATCTTTTACAGATGAGGAGATTAAAGTTCTCAAAGGTTAGCAATATGCCAAGTCCAAAGAATTAATTAGTTAAAGAGTAGAGCCCAAATCATGGTCTTGATCAGTGTGTTAATTTCAGTGTCAATCAGTTGTCAGTTTTCTCTGACTCAGAAAGCAGACTGCCTGAATATATATATATATATTTTTTTAGAGAGTTTTTTTGCTACAGGGTGCATGTCTCCACCAGTAAGACAGAGACAGAAAGACAGAAAGCGAGAAATCACCCCCCTGGAGGCGGGGATAGCCACCCCACAATCCCTTCTCCTCCATCTTCCTCTCAAAATCTTGGGCACAGGGAACCAGCAGTTAGCGTAATGGCTATGTCGCTGGACTCCCACGTAGTCGACCGTGGTTCGTGTCCCGGACCCGGTGGCTTAAAACTCACGCGCGCCCTACAGTGAAAATCTCTCAAAAAAAAAAAAATCTTGGGCACACACGCACCTGCACCTGGCATGAGTTTAAGCCACCGGGTCCAGGACTCGAACCACGATTGACTACATGGGAGTCCAGTGACATAGCCAATATGCCAACTGCTGGTTCCAATTTTTTAAAAGAATTATTTATTTAATTGTATTTATTATTATTATTATCATCATCATCATTATTTTAAAATTTGTTACAGGGCACATATGCTTACCAGAGAGAGAAATGAGAGAGAGAGAAAGTGAGAAAACAAGTTGCCAAGTCTGGGACTCAAACCGTAGTTGGCCATATATTTTGCATGTATAAATATAGTTCTAACTTCCTATATTTGTTTAGCACAATTGCTAGCGCATGTCAGCACCCAGTAAAGGTGAGCTACTGTTGTTATTTTACTCTTTAACTATTCCCCTTCCCTGGCCGTCCCAGAGTGGGGATGTTAAGTGGTCATAAGTGCACCTATGACTGCTCCTTAACAGTGACAGAGGAATGAACAAGCAAATGCCCTTGGCACTCAAGTGTCTTGCCCCTTCATTGGTGACTTGCCTGTCTCTCTTCATGTCCCGGCTCTCTAAAGAGAGAATTCTCCAGGACCTAAATCTTGGGTATTTTCCATTCTCCCTCTATATCCTCTTTTTTACTTATTTTTTTAGAGAGTTTTTGTTTTGTTTTGTTTTTGTTTGTTTTGCTATAGAACACGTGTGCTCACTGGAGAGACAGAGAGAAGAAGAGACAGAAAGCAAGAAATCACTCCCCGGGGGGGAGGGGGATGGTCATGCCACAATCCCTTCTTCCTTCTCCTCTCAGAATTTTGGGCACACATGTACATGTGCCTGGCGTGCCTGGCATGAGTTTGTTGTTGTTTGTTTGTTTTTTTGTTTAAGAGAAGTAAGCCTTTATTTCCTTGGAAAAATACAGAACACATCACAATTTGCATGTCATGCTTGCACAGAGGCCATGCTAGTCTACTCTGTATCATTCTAATTAGTATACGCACTGCCGAAGCAAGCACCCCGGTTTGAGTTTTAAGCTGCCAGGTCCAGGACTGAAACTGTGGTTGACTACGTGGGAGTCCTGCAATGTAACCATTATGTCATCTGCTGATCCCCCTCTACATCCTCTTTCTATATGTTCACTTCCATTTTCATGAAATTTAAATGCCACTCGTGTTTTGATGACTCACAATCTGCACCTACAGTTCTGTCTTACAGAACTATGTGTTCTGTCCCTTGATGTCCCCACATAGATGTGTAATCGTCCAAAACTGTGCTCCTGACTCCCCCAATGCCCACTCTTCCTGAAACTCACCACTTTTCAGTTAATGAAAACGCCTTTCTTCTATTTGCCTAGGCCAAAAATAGTGGGTTATTCTTGATTTCTCTTCCTAACACCCCATATCTAGCTCATAGCAAATCCTGTCAGCGATGGCTTTAAGGCACACCCAGTCATTTCACTTTCTGTCACCTCTACTGCTCTCTCATACAAGCCATACTCCTTGCTCAGCTGGATTGGTGCAGTCTCCTCCTCATTCACCCTCCTCCCTTCTTTCCAGCTGCAGAACTTGTTGAACAAGGCAGCCGCATTGAACCTTTAACACATGAGTCAAAGCATGTCGCTCCTCTGCTCCGACCCCTCCAGAGGTGACCTGTGATCTAAGCACACTTCATGATCTGCGCCCTGTTGTCTTTTCGGCAGATTACCTACCACTCTCCCATCACTCACTGCCATAGCCACGTGGGCCTCATTGCTGGTCACGGAACTTGTCAGCTAGCCTCCCATTTCACGGCCTTTGTACCTGCAGTGTCGTCTGCCAGGAAAGCCCTTCCTCCAGACAGTCACCTCCTTCAGTCTTCATCCTGGCCATCTCTTCAAGAAAGGTCTGTCTAAAATTTGAGCACCACCCAATGTTTCTTAACTGCCCTTCTTGTGTCAGTTTTTAGTTTTTATCAGTCTCATTTACTGATAGTTTTTTTTTTTTAACGTGACAGAGGGCATGTGTGCTTGCCAGAGAGAGACAAAGATAGAGAGAGAAAGTAAGAAAGAAAGCATCCCTCTCACACACGGAGAATGGTCATGCTGCAATCCCCTCACCTCCATTCTCCTCTAGGAGGTTAAAGTGCTGGACACCCACATAGCCAAGCAGTGTTCAAGTCCTGCAACTAGTGGCTTGAGAATCACACTGGGCATGTGTGCATGCCCAAAATCCCAAGAGGAGAAGGGATATGGCATGGCCCTGGGGGGTGATTTCTCACTTTCCCTCTCACTGTCTCTCTGGTGAGTATGCTTTTTTGCCCTATGGCAAAAACTTAAAAAAAATACATATGTATCTTCTGCTCATTTTAAAAATTGAGTTGTTTTCTTATTGTTGAGTTTTGAAAGTTCTTATATATTTTAGATACAAGTTCTTTATTAGATATATTAGTCATATGATTTGCAAATATTTTGTCTTAGTCTGTGACTCACCATGGGATTCTCTTAACAGCATCGTTCCTGAGCAGAAGTGTTTGTTTTGGTTTAATATATATATATATGCACATATATAATTATATTTATACATGCATATATTTATACATATGCATTTATATACATATATGTAAATATATGTACATATATTATTATATATGTATATATACATATGTATGTATATATGTAAAGCGCACACACACACACCAATATATATATATATTGGTCCTAACATATATATATGTAAGGACCAGCAGATGGCATAATGGTTATGTCACTAGACTCCCATGTAATTGCCTGTAGTTCAAGTCCAGACCTGGCAGCTTGAAACTCAGGCCAGGCACATGTACACACATGCCCAAAAGCCCAAGAAGAGACTGGAGGAGAAGGGACTGCAGCATAACCATCCCCCTTGGTGGGTGATTTATCACTTTCTGTCTCTCTGTCTCTTCCTGTCTCTCCAGTGAACACATGCACCCTATAGCAAAATATCTCTTAAAAAAATACACACAAACACACACACACATGCACACATACACAAACACTGAAATGCCTTTGCAATTTTGTCAAAAAGTAATCCAGCCTATCTGCATGGCCCTATCTGAACTCTATTCTGTTTCATTGATCTATGTTGCCGGAGGGTTATAATTATACTTTTTTTAAGTTGAAATTAGTATCCTTCCTATGATCTTTTCCTAAAGGATTACTTTATGGCCTTCCTTCCTATATTTGTGGGTTTTTTGTTTGTTTGTTTTCCCCAGTAGAAAATTCTCAAGATATTTTCACATCTCTTTTTTTTTTTCTTAATTTGCTATAGGGTACATGCCAGAGAGAGAGAAACAGAGAGAGGGAAAAGGAGAGGAAGAAAGCACTCCCATGGGAAGTGATCACGCCACAGTCTCTTCTCCTCTATTTCCTTTCTTTCAGAATTTGGGCACATATACACACACACTTGATGTGTTTCTCAAACTGCCAGGTCTGGGACTTGAACTACGGGGTTGGCCATGTGGCCAACCAACCTTAAACACCAGGCCACGGAGCTGGCCTCTTATTTTGTTTAATACTTTGACCATTCTTTTTTGTAACTGCTTCTCTTTTGCTGATTATTAATCGAACATTTTCTACTTCCATATAATTTAAGATTTTTTTTTTGGTGAGAAATAAATCATATATGATGCAACTACTAAGCTTAAACTTGAAATTTTATAGAATTTCATGATTTGTATATACAGAGCTAGTTACTATGTTTACTTATAAATCAAGTTGCTAAAATTGCAGACCTCACAGTGTTTATTGAAATCAGGTAATGCTGATGTTTTAAGATATAATATTATTATAACAGATGCCTAGCTCTCTGAATTAACAAATGGTAAAACAAAATGCAAACTACTACTATTAACTTGAACACTTTTTGAAAATTGATCATATGATATAACTTGAAAAGTACTGGAGAGAACCATTATAAGAAATAAAAGTGGCTCCATAGCCTAATGATTAAAGAGCTGATCTCTCACAGCCAACTGTGGTTCAAACCCCAGCTCTTAATGGCTTCAAAAATATGCCAGGTACATGTGTGTGCCCATCTGAAATCCCAAGAGGCTGGAGAAGAGGAGAAGGGAAACTTAGCACACCCCATTGTGGGTTGCATATGCTCTCTCTCTTTCTCTCTCCCTCTCTATCCATTTCTCTCTGGTGAGTGTACATGCCCTCTGGCTGTTAAAAATAAATAAATAAATTTATTAGAACTTTTTATATACTATTCTGGCCACAAACATTGTTCACATTTAGCTAACAATCTAAAATTAACAACGTTGTTTCTGGACAGTTTATGTACTAACAAACTATTTTAAATTGTTGTTAGGTAGAAAACTTATAATGTTTAGGTTTCATGGAATAAATGAGATAATATTTGTAAAACAATACAGAGATTTTTAAAAAATGTTTATTAGTGTATTAGGTAGAAAAATAGCATGTAGGGGCCAGCAGATGGCGTAGTGCTTGTGTCGCTGGGCTCCCACATGTCCAACCGTGGTTTAAATCCCCGACCCACAGGCTTGAAAATCACTAGGGGCGTGTGTGTGCGTGCCCAAGATCCAAAATAGAGAATGGAAGAGAAAGGATTACAACATAGCCATCCCCCCCAGGGAGTGATTTCTCACTTTCGCTCTCACTGTCTGTCTGTCTGTCTGTCTTTGATGAGCAGGCCACCTCAAGGCAAAAAAGTCTTAAAAAAAAAAAAGGAGGAAAAATAGCTTGTATAATAAGACATTATCCACATATTTCATAGGATAAATATTTATAAACAACTACGTAAGGTATGTACTTGAAAATGTATCAAACTATATTATAACTTAGAATAGAAAATAGTCTACTTAAAATAGTTGATCACATGTAAGGGTGGAAAATTTAAAGTTAAAATTAGCAAAAATCAAAGAATTTTCTAACAGAAAATATCTAGAATGTAAACTATTTCATAGTGAGTTTTAGAGCACTGGGGTTCTCTGTTGGAAGTCTGTCTGGAATAAAACAGTTTCAGTTTTGAGGCAACTGATATTTCAGGGCTACTCATTGGCTCAGATACAGATACAGTTTGTTCTTTGCTTTGTATAACTTCAGTATTAATCTCAACACAAGTTTTAAATATAATAGCTTGTATCACATTTATTCATTAAATATAGTCTAATATGTCTGTAATATGGTACTTTGATACCTAAAAATATGAAGCTATGAAATTATTGACAAAATACTTGGGGGCCAGACATGGTGTAGTGGTAAAATGTGGCACTTTGCAACGCAATTCCCATATTGGAAGGTTCCCGGGTCAAAGACTTCCCTGAGGTGCAAGCCCATATTCTGGGGCTGGCTGAAGGCTGGGAGTGGATCATGGCATCAAGACCCTGTCAAGGGTGTTGCTTCTCTCTTTCTCTGTCACAGAAGAAATATATAAATATATTTTTAGGGGCCAGCAGTTAGCGCAATGGCTATGTTGCTGAACTCCCATGTAGCCAACCGCGGTTCAAGTCCCAGACCCAGTGGCTTAAACTCACGCCTGGCGCGTGTGTGTGCGTTCCCAAGATCCCAAAAGGAGAATGGAGGAAAAGGGATTACTGCATGGCCATCGCCCCTGGGGGGTGATTTCTCGCTTTCTATCTCTCTATCTCTCTCTGTCTTCCTGGTGAGCACATGCGCCCTATAGCAAAAACCTCTCCAAAAAAAATAAATAAATAACTTAATCCATGGTGACTTTCCTTTATTATTATATCTCTAGTACTTGTAAAAAGTCATGTTCATGTAAATATCAGTGTTTGAATTTTAAGAATCAGCAGTGTATTTATTATGCTATTTATCTTATCATTTATAGTTATCATTAAAATAATATTTAACTGTGAAATCACTGGAAATATGAAGATAATATTTTACAGCATTCTAAAAATTTCTCTGTGTTTAGAATGTTCAAAAACTAATTTTATGTTAACAGCCTTATATTTAGAATGTTCAAAAACTAATTTTATGTTAATAGCCTCATATATATATGGATATGTGTATG